CCAATTTTATATTAAGAGTAAGAATATCATGCATAAAAATATTTCAAATTTGCAGTGTTTAATCCAAAATAAATAACAAAAAATTTTTAGTTACTACTAAAATAGAATTTAAAATTTCAAAAAATATTTACAATATATAATTTATTATTTTTAAGATCTTTAAGATCATTAAAAAATAAATTTAATATAATTTTAAGTAACTTATATTTTTCAACTTCAGGATATAAAGTGATAGTATAGTAGTAATTAGACATATAATGATTCTTTATATTATTAAGAATCATGAATGTTATTATAATATGTTTTACCTTTTGACCCACATTCTGACAATCATTAGAAATTCATATATAAATTGTTGAATTATTAGTTAGCAAAACATTTTCTTACACCAAATAAGAAATTATATATTGAAGAATTCCTTTAAACTTACATTGGTTACCTATAAATTCAGATCTACTAATTTTATTAATAGTATTAATATCAGCATTATCAGGAATTATATTAATATAATTAAGTTCTTCTTCTTCTGAATTATTCTCTTGGATTAACTTATTTTGTTTATTTGCAATAATATATTAATAAGATAAGTGAAAATTTATTGAAACTAAGTATCTATATATGTCTTATAAAATATAACTTAAATCTATTACTTGAATTATATTTAAAATCTCTGCTTTTTGTTGTAAAGGATTTTTATCTTCAATATTACAATAATAATTTTGATTATTAATAGTATATGCAAGTAATTTTAATGAAACAGAGTTTTGTATATTATATATAAGATCACTAGTTCAAATAAAGTCTTGTTTAAGTATTGTTGTGAATTCTTTTACATGCCTTATAAGAGTTTTCTGAGAATATTGCTTCACAGGTTTGATATATTGTCTCGCTTAAAGTTTTTTAACTGTTCTGAGTTTTTGAAGTTGTAATTCAAATATTAAGAACTCAGAAAAGAATCTTTTTTGTTTAAATTTCTAGTTATAGCCTTCTCATAATTTTCTATAGCTCTGCTAACTAATATATTTAATTTAATTTCAAATTTAAAAAAGACACCATATAAAATTTGAAATTCTGATCATCTATTTTTGTATTTGATTTTATACTGGACTGTTTGCCAATTTTTAGCACATTTCCAAGTAGTTTTTACAAAATATTTACTAGAGATTAGATACTTTTTAGAAGGCAAAGTATAATAAAATTCAGGATAATAGAGATAAAATCTCTCAGCTTTTATAAAATAATTAAATGATCTTTGAATTATATTATTTTTTTTCTTGGTAAGTAATTGTAGGGATTTGAAGATAATCTTCTAACTCTAAGGTTTTAATTTCTAATTTATTTGATATTGTGAGAAAAAATTTAAATGATTTTAATGTTCTCAAAAAATTGGTTTAAATAAAATTTTATTTTTAATATAAATGATTTTTATAGTATTTATATTTTTGTTTTAATATCGTTATTATTATAAATAGAGACAAATGCAAATTTAATATATTAAACTTTTAATTGTATATAATATTACAACATTGTGCTTACATCTCTAGATCAGCAATAGAAGACACTCACATTACCAACAATTATTTTGCTAACAATCAATTCAATAGCATTATTTAAAGAATATGTGTATATTAATACAAAACAATTTATTAGTAATTATCAATGAAACAAACTATCAGAAATGTTGTATAAAGATTCTGAATAATAATAAAACACCTAAATTTGAAAGTTAAAAAATTTATTTTGTGTTTTCAAATTAATATTAGATCATTAATTTTTTGTTATATTTCAAATTAATATTAAGCTATTAATTTTTTAATCACACTAAACTCTTTATGATAGAGTATTCAGATTTATATATATAATTCAGATATTTGAACAATGCCAAATTTCCAAAATTGCATAAGTCTGAAATTATGATTATGTATAAAAATGTTAACCTTAATAATCAAACTCACATTATTATTAAGTCTAATAGAAATAAGTTTATATATCTTTAATAATAATTCCTACTATTCATAAAGGTGAATAGAACTATTTATTATGTTTGTCATTCAATTAGAATTGTTTTAACAAAGCTAGAACTGTTAAAAGTCTAGTCCTTTCAGTCCAGACTTAGTAAATAGAAACTTTGATTAGAACTCAGTTCTTGAGTCAAATTTGTACATATAATAATCAAATAAATCTTGATAAAATTAACCAATTCTATGAATGTCTCCTGATTACAATTTGAACAAATAACATGCATTTGACCAATTATATGAATCACAAATTGGAACAAAAAATATATATATATATAAGACTTTGTCTGGAACAGGTTTGAGTCAGTTCTAAAAAGTCCGTATGAAATCGACTCAAAGATTACTATGTAGTTGTTGAAATATCATTAGTGCTATTTTAGATGCTAGAAATAGCTAGACATTCTAACCAGGAATCAGAAATAAGTAATACTAATAAAAAAGAATTCTAACATAATATTGAGCTAGGTTCTTACTGTCAAAACTTGCATGAACTGTCATACTACAAAGACAATTATTATGTACCTGTAAAAATGTCACATGAGCTTTGGTCTGCAATATACAATTACTTCTTACATAATTATAACTATTCTACATATATGCATCATGAATGATTCATAAGATGCATTGGACAATGGATTAAAGCACTGCACTCAGACCGGGTTTTTGGCGCAGACAAAATTCTTAAAATTCGTTAAGGTTAAGGTTAGGGTCAGGGTTAGGAATTAGAGAGGATAGTGGATAGGTGTAGTAGTAAAATTGTCCAATGAAAACTTTTTGTTAGAGCGCAAAAGGTAGTTTCTTATGCTGATTTTTGAGTTATAAGCAATTTTTGGCAGAGCAAACATATGTTTTGAAAAAAATATTAAAAATTGAAATTCAGAATACTTAGTTATCAGTGGAACGCATAATTGTAGTAAATTTAAAATTTTAAAACCTATTTTTTTTTAATAAAGTACTCATTACTGTTACAGTCTCATGTTTAATGCTATTTATCACGGATCATATAATTTTATATTTTCGAAGTTGACCTAAAGTACGTTGCAAAAGTGATGACTAATGGCTGGTGACTAAAAGAATACTACTGTAATATCTATACACTTAACGCTAAAAACTATAACAAATAAGCTATGAAACACCAAAGATAGGCTGTGAAAGCGTGGAAAAATTTAGTTCGAATTTTGGGCTTTTTTGTTATTGTAGTGGTTACGGGCAGGGTTGGCAACGGAGCTTCGAATGGAGCCAATGGAGCTCTGAATGAAGCCCACGGATACTATTTTTTTTTGAGCTCCATTCGCATAACCACTAAGCGCCATTGGCTCCATTGCCAACCCTGGTTACGGAATATGCAATTGGACTTGTTAGATAAGTATTTTCTCTTAAGATCTCTATTTTAACCAATTCTTTCCCTCTTTATATAGCTACTAACAATCCTATGTTATTTCTTATTGCGACGGAATTGAAATATGCTGTTCCTATCGTGAAATCTGGTTTATAGTATCATGTAATATGTTCATTTTAAGTGTATATTGGCATGGACCACAAGTTAATCGGTTGGTTTTTAATAAATAAGGGCTCTGGCTTCTAATCGTCACTTTTATTCTTTACTTTTATTCTTTACTTTTATAAAACAAGAATATGGGTTTTACGAATATTACGGGCCAAGAAATAATGAAGAGATGATACAAATACACTTCTACTAAGACCTTCGAAGTTTTGGAACTTAACTGAGTTATTTTTATTGAGAGTAAGTTGGATCATTTATATACATGTTACTTTACGTATAAAATAAAATTTTAAATTTATGATTTCTTCGCTTCATTTATTAAACCGTTTGTACTGCGTCGATTGCTGAGTAGGGGTAAATTTGACGTTTACAACGTACATACATACGTCAGTACGTATATAATAACGATGTCAAATTATATGACTCTATAGGATTTAGACTCTTGTGTTTTGGGTGGGACTCTTGGGTTTGACATTATCTTGCATGATCTATTATGTCCTTGAATTATTTAGGGCGTTTATTGAAATTTATTGAGCATTGTTCCGTATAGCAGACCAATTAAAAACGGTTAATTATTGGGTTCAAAATAACTCAAGTGCCTCTGTTTAGGGCCCAATGTCTCCGATTAGCCCATATGTCAATAATATAAGGTGATTTGGTTATTATTATGCAAGGTTGGTACTTTGTCCATTGACCAGAACCATTAATCCTATTGGAATGTTGTTACCTCAATGGACCATATTAATTATAAATTTATATAATTTATAAATATTGCTGATGCTGAAATTTGAAACTCTACTTAATTTTTAAAGAAAGGTGTGTCGTCATAAAATTTTAAAATTTTCATTGAAATAGATTAAATCCTTAGCATAAACTGACTCAGCATCAGTTATGACAATTTCTAACAAACTTAATATAGAACAATATACCAATGAACTAATGTCCATCGATAAATCTATTTTTAACGACGGACATAGTCCATTGCCAACCCTATTATTACGGAAGTGGACATCAAGAGACGTGAATAGGCAATTTCGGACAGAAAATATGCTAAATTTAGTAAATTTAGTTATTAATGATTGTGCTATGTACTTCTTCACATTACATTAACGTTACTCTCGGAGTTTCTAGGCTCTTGCACCATGCCTTAAATACTTAGCTTATTTTTATCAATTTGAACACAGTTACGTATTCAGATTAAAAAATTTATATTTTCAGCATACGTATACTGAAACATATGCGCATAACTGATCATAGGAGTTCAATTGTGAAATAATTATTAGCTTCAATTATTCCAATTTAGATAATACGGCTGAATGTATGTGCATAAAACGTTCTAAATATAGCGATAGTTGTTTATTTAGCGTCCGCTTTTTTTTTTTTATAAATATCGTAGGCCTTATCGATTTTTTAAATTGGTAACATAACATTGAGACTTATTTACGAATTCATACACGCATAAGTTATAATTTTTTCAAATGTCCAATAAAGTTATTATAACATCTGTAAAGGTTGTGGGTGAAAGAGAAGGTTTGGTAGATTTTTGTGGGCAAGTTATAGTACAAACGTCTAACGAAGATGCAATTGTGACAATAGAATATACTACTGAACCTTGGATTACCGATAATAGTGTAATTGCTAAACGATTACAAACCCTTTCTAATGAACAAATCTTATATAATTTTGAATTTTCAATCGTTAAAATTTCTAACTTACCTTTACACCTAAAATTCCGTGCTCGATGTGATATTGCAAATTCTAGTTTTTGGACTAATTATAATTATGAATATTTATACAATGAGGGCATTCCTAAAGAGATTATTTTTCATGAAGAAGAATTAAAAAAGGAATGTACTATATGCACAGAAGATGTTGGCATAAAAATCTTTTTAAATGTTACAGACCAATGTAGCCACAATAGTAATATATGTAGTGAATGCGTAAGAAAATATATAAAGCACGAAATTGAAAATAATAGAAAATTTAAAATTTCATGCCCGGCGGCCGGATGCGACAAAATATTAAGTGAGGAAAATATAAAGAGATTTGCAAGTGAAGAAATATTCGAACGGTATGCTTATTAAAATTTATAGGCTTTTTACCTTTCTTTTTAAAATAATAATTTATTATCTTTGTAATAGATATGAACAATCCATACTAAGTTCTGCATCATCGCAAATTCCTACATTCCAATCATGCCTAAACCCAAATTGTGAATCAGAGCGGGACCACTATAATGGAGGTAAACTATATTAAACATTTGGTTAATGTGTCTTACAGGCATTATTACATTCATATAGAGATGGGGAATGCGCATTTTTTTTTCAAACCCTTGGTACATGCATATTAACCACGGGACGTCGTTGAAGTTCAATTTATTTATTTATTAACAAGACTATTATAAATATATTACAAAAATACGTTTATTATTTATTGTTATTGTTCGACCACCCATCCAACCACCATAACCAAAAATGATTGTAGTATATGCTTCCTATCCAATTAAATCAAAAAATGCGCATTTTTCAAAATCATGCATGATACATGTTAAAAAAAAAACAAAGGATTATGGATGGAACCCATCAAGATAACAAAAGAAAGCGTCTTTATAATATTCCTTTAATGCTGTTTATATAATAAGTGAAGGTTACGCATATTGAAAATTAATTATATATATAGATATATTATATACAGTATATATAAATCTTGATGGAATGTTATGCGCATAAAACGGGATCATACACGTATGAAACAGTATTGACTTACCGTTTATTTTTAAACCTTTTCTTCCTTAAAGACAAGGTTCCAATAATGACTTGTAATTCATGTGGACAAAAATCGGATAAAGAGCATAGACAACAGGAAGAAGAATTCAGAGGACAAGATAAGGAACGCAGGCGAAGAGAGAAAGATGAACATAAACGACAGAAAGAAGATGAAAAAAGATTAACAAAACTTCAGAAGGATGAAGAAAAAAGATTATCGAAACTTCAGAAGGATGAAGAAAAAAGATTATCAAAACTTCAAAAGGATGAAGACAAAAGATTGTCAAAACTTCAGAAATATGAAGACAAAAGATTATCAAAACTTCAGAAGGATGAAGGCAAAAGATTATCAAAACTTCAGAAGGATGAAGAAAAAAGATTATCAAAACTTCAGAAGGATGAACAAAAAACACTTCAAAATGAGTCCGAGTCATACGTGAATCAACTAAAATTATGCCCAAAGTGTATGAGTAAGGTTGAAAAAAATGATGGAGATGGTCATGCGACGTGTAAAAGACTTGGATGTGGATATGAATTTTGCTGGGTGTGAGTAGAATTTTCCATAGATGATTATACCAATTCTTATTATATTAATACTGTAATTTTATTTTACCTTTCATCTAGCTGTATGGCTGATTTTAATCAAATACGAACCCAAGGAAATAAAGGACATAATACCGATTGCAGTTATTATAAATGATTTAATAATATAGC